CTCTTCTTTCTAGTTAAAGCCCCCCCCGCCCCAGCAAAGCTCCCCCTCTGTCTAGTAACACCCCCCCGGAAAGCTCCCCTTGCCTTCTATTAAAATCCCCCTCCCCTCCCCACAGCAAGGGGATCCTACTAAATCTGCCCTTCTTTCTATTAAAAGCCCCCGCCAGCAAAGAAAGCCCAGTAAAACTCCCCTGCCTCCTATTAAAGCCCCCCCCAGCCACCTGGAGAGACCTGACTCCCTTGGGTGGGATGGTCCCAGTGCGCACAGCAGCACCAGCACTGGAGACCCTGGACAGCAGGCCCAGGATGGAGGGGGCTTCAGCTGGGGGTTTGCTGAGCAAAAGGGGTTTGGGGCAACCCCGTCCCAGCACCACGACTGTTTCCGCTGCGTGTTGCGATGGCCAGTGCTGATCCCGTAGCCAATGCTGCAGGACTCTGGGGGGTGTTGGCTACCACCCCGATGTGCGGCGGGTGCAGGGGTAGATGGCTCAGGTACCCACGACGGTACATGGCAGTTGTTATGTCCTCATGCTATGCTAGGCCACATGCCCGTCGCGCCCAGTCTCCTGTGTCGCACAGAAATCGGATGCTGCAAGGGAGAGCGACCTGGGTCTGACCAGGGTTTTTCCCTCTGTTCCTCTCTCACTTGCAGCCTCCGGTGGCATTTAAAGTTTAGGAAGTTCTGAGTCAGAGGCTCCCGCGCTCAATAACTATGGACCCCCCTTTCCTCCAAGAACGTGTCCTCTCCCTTTGTGGATCTGGCTACACCATCGGGCTCCAAATGAGCTCCACGCTTTAATTACGCACTGTAAAAAAGAAGCTCCAGAAAGCCACCGTAGCACTTGTTTGCGAGAAGACAGTACATGCCCACTTAGGTGGCTGCCCCATGCCACCCTATCTTCACTGCTACAGAGCCCCACGCTAAATAAAGAAAGTTAGCATGGGCACAGCTGTACATGCCAGAGCTGTCTGGTGGCCATGTAAACAGCCCCTGGGAAATCCTCCCTGGTCCCCCCACCCCTGCCTTGGTGAGGGCAGTCAACCAGTACTGCAGCCTTTGGCACGGAGGCATGCGCTCTGGGACCCCCCCAGGAGATTTCAGGATGAGCTTTTGGGATCACAGTGTCACATAATAAAGGGAGGAGTAAAGGCCCATCTCCCTCCCCTCTCTTGCCCTACGTGCTTTTGATGCCACCCTCCTCCCCATCTAACTCCTCTCCCAGAATCTGTTCCAAAAGAAATGCAGGACTTAAAGATTGCCTTAGAGCAGATGCTACGTGCTTCCCTGTTTTAGGACCAGTAAGAAACATTTGTCATCGCGGTTCTGTGGTTGCTGATAAATGTGTCATTGCTTTCCACATAGCTAAAGAAAAAAAAACAACCCATGAGAAATATGGATCCCAGAGCACTGCCCCGTCTGGATCTAACTACTCCAGACCAGCAGACCCTAGCAGACAGGCTCCTTGTGATGCAGGCTGGATGAGGCACTGGCCGAGAGCGAAGAACACGACTTCTAAAGTTGAAGGTCCTCAGTAGTCAACCTTAAGAAAACTCTTGCTGTCCCCATTCTCTACTGGGGGGAATCAGCCGATTTCTGAGTTTTTCCCTCCTTCTTACCTGCATGTGACCTCTTAGCTGAGGGGCAGCACAGTCTAAGTGGACAGGACACTGGACCGGTAGTCAGGAGACCTGCACGCTCTTCCGCGTTGTCCCCTCTCGCTCTTTGTCGACTCAATTTAGGGGGCAGAGATTGTCACTTCGTAGCCATATGCTACTATATAGCCACTGTATAGCATATGCTATATGCAGAACGGACCCTCTGGGTATTACAATACAAGCAGAAAAAGAATTCAAAACATTATTCCTGGGGCCAAGCCCGACAGCACCCGCCTGTGCCTGGAGAAGGCAATGAGTGCTGCAGGCACCCAGCACCCATCTCAGGGCAGCGATGTCACAAACCTTTGACATCACAAGCACAACTCCACCCTGGGGATGCCCAGACTACACCGAACCTCTGTTCTTCCCCGATGTCGGTGGTGAAATCAATTGAAATCGTGGTGCCCGAGGATAAGGTCTATTTGGCAGGCTTCAGCATAGATGGCCAAGTGGTTCTGAGTCTTAACAGCACTTTGATCAACCCTATGGTGAAGGTAGAGCTGGTAGGGAGAGGTTATTTGCAGTGGAACGAAGACGTCGGTGCGGACAAGGATTACAGCAGGGACGTTGTCTGCAATAACAAGGCTGACTACATCAATAAGACAAAGACGTTCAAGATAGAGGGTAAGTCACTGGGACCCCAGACTTCAGGCAATATGTGAGAGGAGAACCCGTTCACTAGTGAGCGTAGGAATATAAGGGATCGGACCAGTGGTCAGTCCAGCCCAGTAAACGTGTCTCAATCCAGACTGCTTGCTAGAAAGATATAACAAACCCTGCAGTAAGCAAATGTGGGATAAGCTAGCCAGTGGCAGACTTTCTTCCTGACCCATGTTACTTAGGGGTCCTTGAAAACCCTAAAGTCATTTTTTTAACATTTACAGTTATAGCTCTAGATGAACTTATCTGTATAAATATCTATAAATATCCAATATTTTTGCCTGATAAATACTTGGCCTCAGTGAGCTACTTTTTTAAAAACTTTAAATACAAGTGATAGCAATGAATTTCACAGGCCAATTCTGCATTGTGCAAAAAGGAGGTTTCTTTGAATCAGTTCCAGCTTTGCACCCTTTCCAGTTTGCGGACTCACCGTGTGTACCTGGACTCAGTGAACGGCGTGCGACAGCAATTTTGTAAATCAGGGCCAGTGTGTGACAATCCATGCTTGTGTGAATTAGTACTTCACACCATGCATAATCCACTGAAATGCCTGGGTTTGGGTACGAAAGGCCATGTTAGTTGTACGGATAGAGCAAGTGGCCCACAGCGAGTTAACAGATGAGCCAGCAAAAAGCTGGCAATGAGGATCCATCATCAAAAGGCATTTTGTTTATGGATTTTGCAAACAGAGGCTTTAATTTATTTCTGTAGTGGGAAATGTCCCAAAGTACATTTTGTAACTACAACAGAGTCTCAGTAATATGAGACTTCACGATGGCCGTGCTATCAAGTCTTTGCTGAGAGGCAGGGAATTGTAAGTAAACAGTGGGAGCAAATGCAGATTAGTGTGCGCCTTGCTGTGTTTTTATATATAATTCACTAACCACAAATATTTACAGGGATATAAAAACAGTGGGGCGTGAGCTTTCTCCTGGATAACTGAGATTTGAAGGTTAGGCTTTTGTCGGTGCATTAAAGCCTTGGATTTGACCTCTGACCTCTTATGTTCAGGCTCCAGCTCCTCCAAGAGTATTAGTATTCGAAGGCTGTGCCCTCCCAGAAAGGTCATGTGCAATAACGTTGCTTTAGACTTGACCTATTACCTCTCACTGTGGCATGCAAATTCCTTCTCCGGCAGTTGAGAGTTGTACCAGACCTTATTGTAAATCCAGGAGGAAAATCTCTTTCCAATACTTAGCATTACAATCACAAGCAGCGCTTTTCAGCTCAAGATCTGAAAAGCCAAGGGGTCTTCAGTCTTGCGGGACAGGCCCCTAAATCCATATGTAGTTGTCTAAATAAATGGACAGCTTCTCAGCGGGGCTAAGCACCCACAACTCTCAGAGGTTTGTCATGGGAGAAAATTTGCTGAGCTACAGCAACAGAGCTGTGTGCTGGCTTTCAGACTTGATGTTGTTTCCCCCCATCCTTTCCAGAATAAATGTCTCATCAGAAGTGGTTTAAGCTAAACTGGAGAAAGGGCCTCTAATCCTGAAACAGAGTATGTATGGGGAATTAATTATGCCTAGTACAGCATCAATGATCAAGCCTCAGTAAGTTTGACATGGAAATCTTCAGAGATCTTTGCATTGGGACCCTGCCTAAGGGCCCAGATTCAGGTGCCAAGTTTTGACATTTTGACCAAACTGCTTTGCAACGACGGATGAAGAATCTTCTTCGGCATCTTACGGATGGGTAAACTGAGGCACATATCAAGTCTCAGTTATAGTGCATGTCCTCCATTGTCCCGATCCATTTAGCCATTTTCAGCACTACCTGTCTCTCCATAAAGGGCTGCATTAAGGCTCATGCTGAACTTCACCATGTTGTAGTCCCCAGATCCAAATACCATCATACATTAACTCCAGAAAAAGACCCGGAGAGAAACAGTTCTCGACCTCATCCTGCATTCCCACAATGCTCAGAGCCCGCTGCTGAGGTCAGAAAGTGCACAAGATATGTTCAGCTGGACAGTGATAATGCTGATAAGTTTATCATCCTTCCCTTGTTCCTGATCTTATAAAACATAGGTCTGGGACTGCCCACATTGATCTGTAGATATTTGCTCTTTCAAGAAAAAATTGGCCTCATTTTTAATTTTTAACCCTGGCAACCCTCAGCCTTCATCTTGGGCGTCTTCCATCACCTCACTGTGAGAGAAGGAAACGGGCCGACTAGCAGCAAAACAACACATTTTTCTTTCCATTGGGGGTAATTGTTCACGGCCAAGCTTAGCTCACAGTCGGGGAGGATACGAGCCAGAAACCCACGCTGCTCACACAATCAGCTTCAGACTCTTCAAGTCACCAGGCAGGCTTCAGGGAAGCATCTCGTGCTCCTGTAGAAATCCTTTTTTCAGGGTTATACTCCAATCCCTCCACACATACACACTGACACACTCTGCCACCCTATCACAATTGCCAAGGAAATGCAATGGGGACACCTCCCCAAGTCGCTTAGTGTCTTAGGTCACCTGGAAAGATGACTTGGCAACCCCAGATAGTCTCTTCCCTTGGGTTGCAGGGCTCCCAGGCTTGGCTTTGCCAACCCCGACTTGTTCTCGGCATTTACGATGTCACTACAACCTCTCAGTGGAATTTGCTCTTTGGGGCAATTCGTGGTCCCTTTCCCCAGCTGCTCCTGGCAGTCTGTCCCGCTGGTGGAGCCAAGTACTTTGCAATCCTGTAGAAAGGCGGTCCCTTGCATGCTGTGGAGTCTTGTTGCCTGGGACTCCTGACACATCAGGGATGTGGGATCAGGGTAGATGGATCCACCTAGTAATCCCACCGCACCTGCACAGGGCGGAGGAAAGGATGCAGAGCTGACCTCATCCGAAGAAGCGCCAGAGGCACGGTAGGAGAATGCCTCTGTGCTAGGCCCTTCTGATCCCGTGTTGTCCAACCCCTACTTCATATGGACTTGGTGCTCACCAGGTGTTTGCCCCATGGTGCAGCCTGTGTACGTATATGAAGAGTCAGATTATCAATTGCTCTGCAACAGTTCTCACCCATGGTCAGAGTCCTCAAGAGTGAAGCTTTCAGGTTAAAAGGGACCCGCAACGGAGGGCAGCAAGGGAAATACCAGTGCACCAGCCTCCTTCCCCCAAGAGGTCATTTCCTTCCAGGACACAGCGAACGCCTGGCAGAGGAGAAAAGCAAACTGCCCCTTCCCTCATCCACCAGATGATCGTAGGCTGGAAAACAAGGACAAGACTCATGAAACCAACAGCAGCAAAATCATAGATTTTATAGGTTTTTAGGGTCAGAAGGGACCTCGGTAGATCATCAAGTCTGACCCCCTGCCCTGGGCAGGAAAAAGCACTGGGGTCAGATGATCCCAGCCAGGTGTTTCTCCAGTCTCCTATTAAAGACCCCCAAGGTAGGGGAAGGCACCACCTCCCTTGGAAGCCCACTCCAGATTTTGGTAACCCTTTCCGTAAACTTTGCTTATCGGATATCAGCTCACAAAGGGCAACGACTTATCTCCTTGCATATTCTCAGTGTGATCCCTCCCATTAGGCACATTACCAACATAGGGCAGTATAAAACCTGTTCCCCATCCTGGAGCTGCCAGGGTGACCAAAGATACCTGGGGCTGGGTAGAGGTTTGTAGGTAGAAGGTAGTTTGGGGAGAGAGCTAGTATACAGAGCGTGTCAAGGGCACACTGGAAAACAAGTGGGTGAGATGAGAGGGAGGACTGCAGGAAGCCTGGTGGGAAAGAGGTGGGAGGTTGCAGCAAGATGAAAGAGGATACAATGCTAAAAGTGGGAGAAGGCTTCAAAGGGCAACACAAGAAGGGAGGAGTGAGCAAGCTGTCAGGGGAGTTATTCTCTTTACTTCTTTTCTGTATGAAAGAAGTCAGCATGGTAGATACTGGCATGATCCAGCCTGACTGCCACAATCTTGAGAGAGAGACGCAATTAGGAATTAGCATCCAGGCCTCTTCGGGAGCAGAAGTTCATAGTGTCAGAGCTGTACAACCAGGCTTTGTCTACACCTTTGATTTTCACCCGTTTAATTAACTTGATTTACTTATACCAATGCAAAGCCCTTTGTGGACTTGCATTTCAGTGCAAGAGCCTCTTATTTTGGCTGAAATTAAAGGTGTTATCTTTGCAGAGCCACTCAGGAAAATTAGCCTGAATTCACTTTAAGGGAGATTAGTTAAACTATATTAAGCCCTGACATGGATACTCCCATCCACAATTAGAGTGGCCTTCATTCAATTTAGTTTAATTCACTTTGAAAGTGAAATTAAACTAGATTGAATTATGGCAACTTAAAATGAATAAGAGCTTTTCTACCCTGGGACGCTCAGGAAAATGGAGCTGAAATAACTAAAGGGGGACTTGAAAGTGGATTAGCTAAACTGCAGTACACCCCTGTGTGGACACTCATATGCAGAATGAAAACGGCCTGCATTTGATTCTGCTGGATTTATTCCTGGTGTGGCTCTGTGGTGACAGGTCCTGATTCATTCCAGCAAAGCAGAAATGAGCCTAGTAGACGCTGACTTAAATACCTGCACAATCCGTCGCACCGGCGTGTTTGAAACCTCACCTTCAGGTTGAACCACGGCTGCTCTATATGAAGACAGCTTCTTGGAAATGTGTCTTACCCGCACTAGGGTGTAGTAAGCTTGCACAGGTGAAGTGCATCGACTTGGCAGGATCAGAGAAAATCAGGGACATTGGGGTCATCTAGTCCAACCCCTCCTGGAGGCAGGATCATCCTTAGCCAAACCATCCCATACAAGTCCTTGTCCATGCAATCAACCCTGTCCTACAACCAGATTGCTTCTGCATGGTGTCCCCTATAGTCTGGAGCTTTAATCTTTATAGTAAAGCTCCTCCATCTCATTCCAGCAGGGGAAGAGGGCTTTAAAAGGTCTTTGAAATGGAAAACACTCTTACTCCCTTTTTTTCCCCGTGTCCAGACTAGTGTCAAGCAGTCCCAAGGTATAAAGCCCTAAGCAGTTCAAACAGCTAAGCAGCAAGGAGATGACTGATCATGCTGCCATTGCCAAATAAGACCATGAGCAATGGTTTCCCTTTTTTTTGCATGCTCTTGGGGTGTAATTTTTATCTGCATTTATAATCCTGAGTGAAGCCACGGTTCTGCCATCTGGTGAATCTCTCGTGCTGCGAGGAAGCTATTACGGAGATCTGCTGTCAGTGGGGAAACCTGGGTTAAATGTGTTAAAACTTGAGGAATTACTGAGTTTGTTTATGAGGGTAATAGCAGCAATTAGTGGAACAAAAGTCCAGCAACATGGTAACTCTGTGCAGAGTTGCTACCTTGTGCCAGAACTCGGGGCCCAGAGGAAGTAGGGTCTGCATGACTATCGCAAATACACAGCAAATGTTCTCTGCGAATGAAGCAAGAGGAAAAGGCTGGGTGGAGAGAGCTGGTTTTATCACCTCCAAGTGAGACAAGACTGAAACCATGAAGAGCCACGTTGGAGGAAAGAGGCCCCTGTGTATGCGCATGCGTTTGGGTTGTACCTGCAAGGTGTGGCCAGCCGTAGTGCATAGCCACTACATGAATTGCTGGGGGCACTCAGGATTGGGTGAGCAATGCAAGCATCTTGCAAGGAGAAGTGCAAACTGCCCCTTCCCTCAGCAACCTGCAAGAGAGTGGGGGTGCTCAACCTGCAGCCCTGAGTGCCACAAGTGGCACGGGCAACCTCTGAGTGTGGGCCCCAGCAGATCTGGGGGAGAAGAGGCAGCGTAGTAACAGACAGAGTAGGGAGCAGATCAGGCAGGGCGCACAGAGTAGGGAGCAGAAAGCAGAGGAGGAAATTGGGCAGAGGCAGGGAATCACAGTGGCACCTGGGCAGGGTGCAGGGCTGATTCGTGCCCCCCCCTGCACACTGCTATAGAGGAATGCAAAGCATCCTGTCCGTAGGAGCTGAGCTTGAGAAGTAACAGCATGTTGTCTGGCTTTCAGGGAACTGGCTGGATTCAGGAACCCACACCTTTGACTTCCACTTCACCTTGCCTACCAGACTTCCCTCCACGTTCACCAGCAGGATAGGCTATGTTTCCTACTTCCTCCAAGCCTCCTGCTCCAGTCGTGAGCTCATCTTAGCTAAGAAGAAGAAGTATTTACTAGTGCAGGGGACCTCTGGCATCCTTAAAGACAGACTACAGTCCAAGGTAAGGCTGAAGATTATTCCACCTAGAGACAGGAGCAGAGAAAGGGTAGAAAGGACCGCCTTTGAGTTCACCCCCCTATCTAAATCTGAATTAATTTCTGTGAGTCGACAAGCCTGTGCCACGGGACCCCACAGGACACTAGAATTAGCAGCAGCGTGGGAACTGGTCCAAACATGGCTTTATTGCCCAATCGCATTGCTCCACTGGCAGCCAGCGAAGGGATCAAAGCGCTGGAGTAATGTGATCTCATTAACCCAGGTTGGTCAGCAATGGTTGCCCTCCACTCTAAGCACTGCCCGGGGCTTCGTTTTCCAGTGCACAGGCCTGACGTGTCTAGGAAAGTCAGAAAATGAACAAGCACGGAAAGGGTAAAAGATTCCAGACCTTTTCTTTCCATCATCAATCAGCAAAAAAAAAAAGGGCATAGACTCTAGTTCCTTTTGAAGATGACATATAAATGCAAAGTTTTAATCAATACATGTAATCACTCCAAGAGAGACTGGAATACCACTTTCTGCAGTTGCTTAGCTGTGCTGCTGTCAGAAGCTAATGGGCGTCCTCAGATGCATCTGGAATCAGTGCTGCACACAGATTTAGCACAGGCCTTTTCTGAGCAGCCTTCGTTGCTGGAGCCAGCCAAGGCCGCAGAGCTCCCTGAGTCTAGCAGGGTAAAATAGCTTCTACCCAGGAATGCTGACTGGCTTCATGGAGAGGGAGGAAGGGGAGAAACTGGACTGAATACTAACGAGAAGGGTTTCATACCAGGGTTTGTTGCATTCTTCACAGTGCAGGGAACATGCATCCTCGTGGTGCAGGAAAAGAGTCACTGAACAATGCAACATCGTCGCCGTCTCATGAGCCATTTTCCCTGAACAAAGCTATGCGTGGTCTTAGGTCATTGACTGTTTTTCAGGTCCAGGCCTGCAAACATTAAGGACTTGTCTACATGACAGAACCTCTGCCGCTATAGCTTTGCCAGCACAGCTGTGTTGGCAGAGCCCTGTCATGGAGAGGCAGCGTATGCCAACAGAGCGGAGGTTTCTATTCCACCCTCCTCCCCAAAGGATCAAACCAAAATGCCCTCTTCTGTCAGCATAGTGGCCTCCACATTGAGACTTTTGCGGGCATAGCTCTGAACTTTTTACATCCTTAGCAGATGTAGTAGCTATGCCACCAAAGTTTTTAGCATAGATCAGACTTAACATGCCAGGGTAACCGGACTCCTGTGAATAGCCTGGCTGAATTTAATGGGCAAATCGTGCTGCTGTATAGATGCCTATATGGGATTAAGGCCTTTGTCTGTATCCTCTCCACGGGATATGACCCTTATCTATTCCAGAGTAAGAGTGGAGGAGTTAGTCAGGAAAAGCTTTCCATTCACAACCTACTTCAATCCAAATTAGCATTGATGTGAAGAAAACCCCTTCGTGTCATGAAAATCTGGCCCATGGAGCCCAGTTCTGCGCTCTCCCTCTCTCTCGATTGGAAATCAGGATGAACTCTTTTGAAACGGATGAACTCAGGCTAACACACATGGGACCCAAAATCTGGCCCAGGGGCTTTTATTATTAAACTTGTATTTCATTCATACTCTTAAGGGTCTGTGTATATAATAACATGATGCTTTACTGTTACTCTCTTTAGGGTGTCTTTATTTTAAATGGCAGCTTCAACACATTCTGCATTTCTCTTCTTCACCCCTGCCCTAGCCTCTACTTCTCTATCCCGCAGGGTGCATGGCAACGTGAAGTCTTGGGGGGCTGCACCTTGTGTCCATGTGACGCGGCCTCGGTTGCGGTAGCCGTGATTTCTGCCTGTGTGTAAGGATGCTAAGTGATCCCGCTGCATCCTGTGAAAGGCACTCACCACACTTTGCCTTTCCCTCGCTCCTTCCATGTAGCACCCTTTTGTAGTGGAAGTCGACAAGGCCGTAGCTTATCACTGCTGCTTCCAACAAGGCCGTGTGGTCCTGAGGATTTCCCTGGTGAAAAACATATTCTGCCCCAGTGAGAACGTCACCTTCACCACCGAGATCGACAACCAGACAGGCAAGTCCATTAAAAGGGTGGTTTTCACCTTGTACTCCAATGTCCTCTACATGGGCTTCACCACTAGGTCAGAGCCACGCACCCTGGAAGACCGAAACGTACTGTTAAGGCTGGAGCCCGGGCTGGAAGCTATGCCCTTTGAGGTCACCAGGATCACCAACATAATGGCCCTGCCCAGTCTGCTACCTGTCAGCTGCATGTCCTTGGCCAACGAGATCATGGAAATCCGCTACGAGCTGGTGGGAACCCTTTACCTTCCCTGGTCCATGTCCAGCGTTGTGGCTAGAGTGCCCGTCCTCATAGGCACCATTCCCACGGCCGATATGGAGGAGTCAGGCAGTGGCGCTCATCCAAACCCATAGCAAGGAGACAACACGGGAGGAGCCGGGAGCACGTGTGCTGAGGCCCAGACAATAAAGATTTGCTGCAAACATGCTCGTGCCAACTGTCTACTTTCACAACAGGGCTTTGCATAGGAATGCTCTGGATTCAGCAGGGGTGCCAGGATCAGGCCAAAACTGAGTAGGAGCAGCTGGACCCTATGAGAAGGGCGATAACATAGAGACCTCGTGCCCTCCCCAGCACAGAAAGACAAGCAGTTCTACTTAGAGCAGAAAACCAGTCACTAGACCTGAGTTTTAAGGGCTGCTGACACTATGACTTGGCTTGTCAGTGCCTCAGTTTCCCCAGAAACAATGCAAGAAGCAGGAGCACAGGTTGAGTCTACCCCCCTCCCCAATCTTGCATCATAGCTGGCTTGGGGAGAATCATAGAAAGTGAGGGTCGGGAGGGACCTCAGGAAGGAGGAAGGGACACCTGGAAATGAGTGTGACTTGCCCAATGTCACACAACAGACCTGGGAGCAGAACACAGGTGTCCTGTTTCCTGTGCCATTGCTCTACCTATTTAGCACCACTGCCTCTCTTGGTATGGCTCCTTCCCCCTTTCTCATTGGGCCCCCACTGACACTTGACATGGACCATGTTTGAACAGGCAGGGCTAGGGGCCCCCCTGTCTACAACCTGCTGTGGTCCTTGGGGTACCTTGTGTCTCGGTTGTGCCTGGCTTGTTCTGGGGAGGCCAGCAGTGAAGTCTGTTATCGAGGCTCTGCTCTCACACTGCTGCAGGCATCTACTCAGTGCCCGGGTCTCAGCTGGGCTCTGTCTTCTGTGCCAGGCCCAGAACAGAGCCCAGCCATACCCTCTCCCCAGAGTGCTCCCAGGCCATTGGTGTTAAAGAGGTCTTGGGGACAAACAGAGCATTTCACACTCTCTGGCTCTGTCCCCACCTGTGTTTTGCAGCCCTGGCTCTACTGCTGCTGCAGCTTCCCCGGTGCTTGCAATAGTGGATGTTCTCTTGGAGCCTGGCCGCCGGCCTTCTCAATACTGTGTCTTGCAGATGCGCCTTGGGCTGTGCTCGGAGGACCACGCGGGCTAAGTCGGCTGGTGGACAAGCTGTGTGAGCACCCTGTTGCTGGCTGCAGGGGAACAACATTGGAAGGAATTAACAAAACATGCTAACACAGATGAGGCTCCCGGTCCTGAGTCTGGTTAAGGATCTTAATTAAGATGCAGGTTGTGCTGTAGTTAAGAATCTCATTTGGGGTATTATAGAAAATGAGGTTGGAAGGGACTTCAGGAGGCCATCTGCTCCAACCCCTGCTCAAAGCAGGACCAGCCCCATCTAGATCATTTCAGCCAGGGCTTTGTTGAGTTGGGCCTTAAAAACCTCCAAGGGGAATCTCATTGGTCATGACCTGCCCACAATGAAGCCTTGTTGGCTGTCCTTTAGGATACTGCCTCCAGTTAGCCTATCGATCATGGATACTTTGATAATGTTTTCCAGGATTTTTCCAGGGATTGAGCAGGCTTTTCCAGGTAGTTAAAGGCTGCTACCAAATCTCCCCTCAGTCTGCTGTTCTCCAAACTAAATCAGCCCAGTTCATTCAGCCTCTCCTCATTAGTCCTGTGCCCCAGCCCCCAAACCATTTTCATTGCCCTCCCCTGGACTCTCTCTCATTTGTCCACATCCTTTCTGTAGTGGGGCCCCCCAAACTGGACACGGGACTCCAGATGCAGAACAAAATAATTGCTTCCCTCGATCAGCGGCAATGCTTCTACCAATGCAGCCCTGGATGCCGTTAGCCTTCTTGGCAACAAGGGCACTCTGCTGGCTCATGTCCATCTTATTGTCCACTGTCCCCCCCAGGGCCTTTCCTGCAGAGCTGCTGCTTAGGAGAGGGGGCAGGAATCAGGGCAGACTCCTAAGGAAACTTTTCAATCCCTGGCCTAAGGGACATAACCCCCAGCCCCAGAAACACAGCTGACATTTAGTGAGCCCTTCCTCCCCTGCCTAAAGGTTCAGGGCTAGTGAGTCTGGGAAAGAACAGAGAAGCAGGTCTGGGCTGAGAAGCAGCAGCCAAGTGAGCCCGAAGGCTGGGAGAGCAGCCAGGAACAAGTCAGACTTCTTGCCGCTGCTTGGGCAACCTCGGGGGTGGCTGGGGAAAGGAGCAGGCTGGGATGGGAAGGGGGAAGGAGAGTCTGGGGAGGCAGGAAGGCCATCACCAAGCCTGGGAAGGGGAAGCAGACATCTGCACGTGCTGGGCAGCTGGAGCCTGCACAAGACCCCTTTGTGTCTGCGTCTGCTGGTGCAGCCGGGAAGCAGGGAGGGGCTGTTCACAAGCCCTCGGCCAGGACTGCACTGCGCAGGCGGCCTTGCTGGGGAGAGAGTGGGGTGGGCTGGGAGGCACAGGACCCTCCAGGGCCTCATCTCAAAGGGCCCTCACACCTTAAAGCCCCAGCCCAAGCCCCAGCCCAAGGGAGGGCTGAGAAGGGGGCTGACCAGCTTAATCCGATCAGTGCAAAAACTGGACTTTAAGAGACAGCATTCAAATAAAGGACTAATTAACCAGGGAGAAGCCCAGCACTGGCTGTATGTCTGCCTGAAGAATGGAAACAGCTACAGGAGTGGCTGTACCTGGGCAGGGCAGGGCACAACCAGCCAGGCAGGCATGGAGGGACTTGTCAGTAGCTGTTACAGAAGCAGCTGCAACATCGCTCCGTGATGTGACCAACACCACCAGCTGGAGCGGAGATGCCACATGACAACCCCACCAAGACAAGGACCTTAAAGATCTTGCACAGCCCAAGACTTCGTCTGGCCCTCAAAGGGAGAGTGATGTGAAGATGCCCCTTGAAAAACATACTGAGGAGGCTGGCCCTCCGCCTTCCCACGGCGCTGCCCCTAATGTCTTCACATGAGGAGAGAAGTCCCCAGGTCTCTGGCATTGGACCTGAACCTCAACTGCGGACGGGGGTTAAGATCCAGAGCAGGACCCAGTGGGCAGCATTGCTGTGCTGAGACACTATGTGCCCTCAACCCCTCTATGGAGCCACTTTGAAGAGGGGAGGTATACGGGAGGCAAGGCTGAGTGTCCAGTATTGGCAGGATGGGGATCCACTGGCTACCATGGAAAGGAGCAGTCAGATCTTTAGGGCTGGATCCCATGTTGCCTTATGTCGCTGGCCCCCATGAACAGCACCCACTCAGAAGTGCCAGCACGCGCCAGGGTGAGGAGGGAGCAGAGGCTGCAGTGGCTGCCTGCCAATGCCTCTTTGTGGGGCTATGGGAGGGGGTGCACAAGCTGGGGCTGACCGTATCTGCTCCTGCAGCTGACCCGTGCCCCCAGCACAGTGTGAACGGGGAACTACAACCTACTGCTCCACAGCCCCACCCTGACTCCAGCACCAGCGGGAGGTTAACCGGGCCTGTCTCCAGCTCCTGCCCCAGGCCACAGCCAACACTTGGTGTAAGCAGGTGCAACACCGCGGATGCCCTGCGGCAGTTTCCACTGTCCCACGCAATGTGCCACGCACACCGGGATGTAGGGAACAGGGCAACAGAGGCCACAGGAGCTCGCCACTCTGCTGCCTTTGGGCCCAGGGCCCAGGTGTGGGCTGGGGAAGCAGCCGCAGAGCACGTGCGCTGCTCCTTGGCAGCCTGGAGAGAAAGATTCCTCCCCACCTTCCCCCTGCGGGTCTTCAACACTCAGTCCAGGGCTGGGAACAAGGAAGCGCTGCCACGATGCCTGCCAAGTACAGCTTGTTCTTCCCGCAGGCAGGCAGGCTAACAAGCCACGGCAGTGTCAGCCCGGCCCCCAAAAGCCACTGTTGGAGCCGTGCGGCTGCGCCAGTGAGCATGAGCTCCATTCACACGTGCTCCTTCGCCCTTGCTCTGCTAAGGTCCTGCATCCCAGGGCTAATCAGTCCATTTTGGCCCAAGTACATGCCATGCTCATCTCATCACAGGCAGTTACCCTGGCCGGCAGCTCCCGAAGAGTGAGGATGCTGTAGGGAGGAGCTGCAGGAGCTGGGAGGAAAGGAAAGGATGCTTTCCATCACTATTATCAGCTGAAACTATTTCTACCCAAAGGACCCTTCCCAGGGAAAGGGGTGTCAGGTGGGAGAGTCCCAAGGCAACAGAGAAGTAGGAATGGCTTCTGGGGTCTTCAGGACCCCTCATCATCTGCAAAAAGAGGCAGAGAGGTGCAGGGAGCACCCACCACCCCAGGGCACCCAATACTGTCACCCATCGATTGCCCAAGGAGGCAAACCTGAGCTCAGAGTCTCATGAGCTACTTGCTGGAAGCCCAAGGGCCTCACTTGATTCAAGCATGGTTTAGACATCAAAGCGAAGGACCCGGCCACAAGCAATCTGTGCTCATCCTTGCCTCTGCCCTGGGAGATGAATGGGGTGAATTGTTGGGGGAGTTCATCAGCAGAATAAACCCAAAGGGCATCAGTGGCACCTTCCCGACAGCAGTTACAGTCCCCTTGTTGAGGGCCGCGGGATCTATGGGAGGGCACTGGAGAAAGCAAGGGGGGAAGTGTACAGCACGTGCCAAGAGTGCTACCTGACTGCAGAAAAGGATCCAGCCTCTTGCCTTTGTTGGTGCAGCGCTGTGCAATGGCAGCAGGTATCTTTGTGGGGGGCTTCACACCACCTGGGTCCAGCCTTGCCCCTTGCTGGAGAGCTGGTCCCTTCTGTTCAGGCATTTCCTGGCCCCCAGCACCCCTTCACCACTGTGCACAAACCTTGCCATCTCCCATCTCTCTGCATGCAATTCCCTGCACTCTCCGCAGGAAACGAATTCATTCTGTGTTGACTTCACCGGCAGCCCACCCAACAGAGGTTTTGCTCTCTGTGATGGAGATGGAAGGGTTAATTTTTAGTGGCTTCTTGCTGTACTTCCCCAAAATTGGCGCCTCCCAGGCACTGGGCGCACAGGCTGAGGCTGCATCGTGGTGGGAAACTGCCCAAACTCAAAGAGTTTAAGGGATGTCCTGGGCTCCCAGACGCTCTCAGGGTGGGAATGGAGGCCCCAGGCAAGGAGCAAGCAGTGATGCTCTCTCCTCCCATTTCCGTCCAGCTACCTCCTTTCTGCTCCGCCCTCCCCCTGCCACCCCTTCCCAGCCAGAAGACTGATCCCTTCTGCATCCCTCTACCCCCAAGTGGGCTTGTGGTAATCTTGCTGGGCCCACGGGAGGTGTGAGCTGCTCTGTAGTCACCGGGTCGGGGCACAGCCGCTGGGGAGGGGGGCAGAAAGGTCACCTGCCAAGCACCGGCTGCACGCGCCAACCTTTCCGAAACCTCAGAGCATCCTGTCGCCCGCAGCATGGGTCAGCCAGCAGGCAGGAGGCTGCGTGTTGGTGCTCGGGCTGGTATTGAGGGCAGTCCCACTGAATGCTTAAGCCCCACTTAGGCGTTGCCAAAATCATGAATAATAATCCCACGGGTGAGCGTGCCCCACCTGTCCGCCCGCCAGCACGCTGCTGGGCCACATTCCAGCCATGCATGGGGGCACCTGGATTACAGC